TAATAATCAAGTTTAGATATCCCAACCATGGTCTAAATTATTTTCATTCAAACCATTATCCAATTCATAAAATTTACGAAACTCTTTTTTACTAAATATCCTAATCGGCAGACAATCTTCGATTGCTTGAATAATTTATCCGGAATTATTTCGATCACATAGCTACCCACGTTTACTTTGATTACACAATAACTTGTTCTAGTAATAACAAAAACCGATACTAGAATTTCTTGCAGATGGAGTTGTCGAAAGAAAAAAACCCTATTCAGGTGACCGGATTATCGGCCGGCGACGTCAGCAGCTCGTGGAATCAAGGCAAGGCTCCGAATAACAGGAGAAAGGGATGCTGTGACACTCGGAGTCAGCGCGTCCTGTGTCAAGTGATAATGCATTAGATCGTTTTCTGTGAAAGATCGCTGGCCCGATATTTATTGTGATTTTCATAATCCGCCTTTTATTTTACTTTCATTTGATTTCTGTTGTGGTGTATTGGGGATGAATAAGGTTTGCTGATTGATCATAATATTATAAAGAACGACGTGAAATATGAAAATATTAAAGTGCGGCAGTTACACGACTACTATATGCACTACAGACGTCACGCATATGAGGCGCCCTTCCTCCCGGCGTCGCGTCGGCTGCGGCGGCCTCGCAACGCGCGCCCGGGACGAAGGCCTTCCTCGAACTATGACGTCACGTATTGTCAACTAGACAAATTCCCTCAAGTGACAATGATATGTCACTAATGGTGCGATAATTTGCCTAGAACCAAGTAGCAGTTCATAAAAAGTACATTTCACCTCTGATACTTTCTGTATCGAAATTAATGTGTATCATGGTGTCGTAAAGACATTACGCATACACTAGTAACATTACCCAATACTTATTCACAAGAAAAATACAGTGACACGCTCTTACGCACGTCGTTCGTCGTATAATTAATCCTACCGCAATGTTAAAAAGACTAAAACCAACAAGATCTCACTCGTAAAAAAACAACAACACAATAAGGCATTCCCAGTAAGATTAGCGAATCCGGGCGATTGGCAGAAACCTGAATCCACGGTTCTTTGCGCTGTCTGTTTGTTGCCAATTGTGCAAATCGCGTTCGTTTGGGTTAGTACGAACATCGGACGAAATTAGCATAAAACCAACGAATGCCAAAAGAAAAAAACAAGATTGCGTGGGGTTATTTCGGCCGTTTATATAATATCTAGCAAGGCTATAATTCGTTATATATCTGCGTTAACGAACGATACACATGTTTGCTGTTTAAGTCAAGTATGATTTAGCTTTGGGACCTCATATTTCAGGACTTAACCTTGAAATAGGGTTAGGGTCTGACATCTAGTAAAGTAACGCAAAAACCGCGAGAGGATATTCAGGCTCCAGAGAAATCAGATACATCGTGACTAATGACTTCGTCAGTGATTTAGAAGGATTATGGAAAGCTGTTCGTCTTTACCTTACAATGACGCTTACGTGATTGGCATTTATCTAATTCTATTTGTATTTTCAAATACATTTTATGCTACTACGTGATCATAAATTAATTTAATGCCTTTTGATCAGTATAGGTCAGGAGGCATGAAAGTTACGCCAAGCCAAAGATTTAGAATTAGTTCGTAATAGAAACCACGGGAATGTAGATATTCTAGGCACAGCTTGTAATAACACGTAGTATATAGTATTAAATCACAAACAGAAAACTGTCAACAACAACAAAACAGACACGCAAAATACCCTATTAATACCGCATATGGGTTTTTTTTTCTTCTTTTTCTTTTTTGTCCATGACCACCTGCCATGTTCTCTCCACCCCGGGCCACAGACTCACCTTTGACCTCCCCTCCCCTACCCAGTCCTGCCCAAGCCCTTACACAAACATGTATGTACCTTTTCTGTTATCTATAGTCCCATCGCCAAGCCGTGAATAAATTAAAGATGTTACAAAACAAGATGTAAAAGCCTTTTTTTTCTAGTAGTTACTGCCAGAGCATCTTGATAAACTCAAGGTAGGATCGACTGTTGTGAGGTTGCATGCTTTTGCTATCGTGAATCTGGTCAACGCCAAAGGTCTTTGTAAGGTAATCCTAACAATGTACATGAGATGGCATGTTTTTTTTCCACACCCAAGAAGATTCGAGGAAAAATCACAGGGTGAGAGACGATAACATATAAAAGGTGTAATCAGATGTTGGGATGCTCTTTGTTCAGGCAGGGGGCAAGGGGATGGGGCGTAGGGGGGGGGGGGGACATTGGGCAGTGCGAGGGCAGGGGAAAGCACACAGGGCGGGCAGGCAGGGCATTACTAGTGGCGCCAGTCGTATCGTTGCCGCCGCGCCATTCAGTCGCACGCTGACCTCGTCTCGTTTTCGTGACATTGGGATTTCAAGTTTGGATTTTCTTCACAGGAGGGTGTCAGGAAGAAATACTATATAGAGGGCGTATACATAACGAGAAAATATGATACTGCCATTTCGGTGATAATTTACCTATC